AAAGAGTGTTCTTGGTTAAGCCAATAGCTAAGTAAAGACCCTAAGGTGAGAACAAGCTTAATAACCAGTGGAACATAACGAAAGCCTGTGTGACTGGAGTGTCATGAGGGAAGGCAAAGATTATTGGAGATGAGGTCAGACAGGTAGTGGGTTTTAAGGGACTGTATCACATTGTAGGCCATGACAGGGACTTGATTCTAATCTCAGTGCAAGGGGAAGCCATTGGATTGTTTTTTAAACCTTCCATATACGTTACCTTTTAAGAGATCGACTCTATTTGATGGATTGTGATGGGGCCAAGAGAAGAAGCAGGGAGTCCAGCTAAGTGGCTAGTATTGCAGTAATCGGGTGGTAGGTGATGGTGGCTCGGCCTGGGTATTAATGGGGGAGGTGGAGAGAGGTGGATTCAGGAGCTGTTCTGGAGATAGAGTTGATGGGACTTAGTGAGGGCTTAGATATGGAGGGAGTCAGGGTGAAAGGAGTCGAACCAGAATCCTAGGTTTTTGCCTTACGGGCTTCTCTTCCAGCCTCCAAGGATTGAAGACAGGATAAAGGAAAGTGTGTTGAAAAAGCTTTAGGATTTGTCTGCAACTATCAAACATGACTCTATAACCACTGTATAATATTATAGGAGGTTTCATTCTCAATTAAACATCATCTTCTCCAACTTGGATATACTTCTCAAGCCACCTGCTCTCTTTCCTCTTTTCAACTTGAAATCTATGGATTATCTAACAACTCTATCACTTTGCAATAACCCAACCTCATTCTCATTCATCTCAGTATCTGAAAGTGGTGTTAAGCCAATCATCCAGATGTCATCGGTGCCCACAGCACATGGTACTAGACATAGGCATTGCCTAATACATGGAATTGAATTGAAAAGGGATTCAGGGCAGTACCACTCAGTGTGGTCTACAGTCTTGTGTGGTTCTGTGAACTGTTTGTCATAAGCCATTGGTTACAGGTCCACGGCCAGGTAAATTTGGAGATGAAGAGTAAATATTTAGAAACTTTTATAGCAATTTGAAATTGTTGTGACATCCAAGAAGCATTTCCCTTTTCTACTAATTTGCTTGTATTATATTTTAATAAAATATTGGAAATTAAAACGAACAAGCAAACAAAAAAAGGAAACTGGTTTTTTACTTCAAATAGTTTGAGAGCACTGGTCGAAAACAATAGGCAAAGCTATTGCCTTTCCAAAGGAGAAAAGTGTATGTGGTGACATCACAGGACAGATAAAAGGCGTTGGGGAGAACAGCTGGTTCTTGCTCTTTTTTTTTTTTTTTTTTTTTTGACTTGTTCTAATCACAAGTGGGTTGTGGAGACGCCAGGACTTTTCTGACATGTGCAGCTTCTGTGGGTATCTGAAAAGTGGAATCGGGAAGCGATTGGAGGAATTCCAGGAATTTATATTATGGGGAAGCGTGAAGCTGAGCTTGAATAGATGATTGAAAACCTATGTGTGGAGAGGACCAATTTTATTATTGTCTCCTTCCAAGGAGTGTTCTATAAGCCTTTCCCAATGAGTGATTTGAAATTGGTGTTGCCATTTCAGAAAGCCATGAAATTCAGAGTTGGAAGGCACTTCTGAGACCGTTTAGTTCTAGTCCCTCATTTTACAGATGAAGTAACTGATATCCTAAGGATATCTTTTGAGAAGAAAAAGCCCCATAGAGTCCAGAAGCCAAGGATAAAAGACACTTGCTGATCTTTCCCACCACGAACTGAGCCAAGGTCGTGGGTGGTTTTTCACAATGCTCATTTTCCAGTGTTGTGATTTTGATTTACTTTCTTCACAAATCCACATCTCTGTGAAATTGGAGCTTCTGAACCCATTTTTAGCCTCTTGTTTTGACATAAACCCAAGTTCTGTTTAGTTATAAATTTGGTCCGGAAAAATGCAATTGCGTGTCATAGCAGCTCTTTTCAGTTTGCACATCTGTCATTGGAAGTATTTGCCAAGAAAACTTCATGAGGTACCCTTCACGAGGAAACCAAGCGACTCACATGGTTTGTCTGCACCCCCTTCTTTATCCATTTGCAATACGATTTTACAACCCTTTCATTGTTTTATTGAGGGTCGTCAGGGATTAGAGGGCAAGAAGATGAGTTTCGGGGTCTAGAAAGAGCAAGGTTCGAGTTCAGCACATATTAGTTGGGTGAGTGTGTATATTATGTATCCTCTATGGGCTTAATTTACTCTTTTTAAAATGGGAGTAATATTACTTCACAGTGTTGTGAGGGTTAAAAGAGATGATATGCATAAGCACTTAGCATGGTGCCTGGCACAAAATAATTATTCAGTAGTGGTTGTAGGTAGGTATTGTATCTGATGAATGGAGATGCTCTATAATAAAAAGCTTCTATGGTCAAATGTTGAAAATATCTCCTTATGAAATTTCAAATTGCACATTAGAACATTAAAGGCTCTGAGAAGTCCTGTAGTAAAGTAAAATCTTTTTGCTTAATCTTGTATGGAACGTTTCCCAAACGTTCTTTTTCTTTTCTTTTTCATCTCTCCTTCCCTTTTTTCCCTTCCTTCCTTCCTTCCTTCCTTCCTTCCTTCCTTCCTTCCTTCCTTCCT